CCGAACCGAATTGACAATAATTCAAACGAATCCAAATTAAATATAATAAATATTTCAACGGGGTTTAAATATCTTACACTGTAAGTCCTAAACACTAACAGATCTGAACCTAACCCGGATGTCCACCCCTAAGTTTTCCCGGAGTCTTGATCTTCCAAACATGACTTTCGAGAGGGGTGATACTTGGTTTTCAAAACTACATCATTGTCCCGAAAGAGTTCCGCTTTCTTCGCTAATTCATATCCTGATTTAGGGTGTCACTCCTGATTTGGTGTAGCTCTACACAAAACCATCATTCATAAAAGAATTACCCAGTTTCTTTGCTAATGTTTTTAATCAGCCATATGTTCTAAGCCTCTCGGAGAGTCCGCTTGGATGTCCAGGATCCAGTTTCTGCTCCAAACATTATATCCAGAACCTATTGTCTTCCTAAGGCCTCGGTTCAGAGATTCTCTTGCAGCGATAATACTCCTTCACCAATTATAATGGAAATAATTTTTTTGTCTTTTAAAGGGCTAGTTTCTAAAGTATCAAAACTTTAAAACTCTAACTAGAAGAGTGGATGATAATTCAAGGAGTCGCCACATATGATTTGCTAGTAGAGAAAGATTGAAGTCATGTAAATCTCAGAATCTCAAACCTCCCATATCTGGGGAGATGCAAATCTTCTCTAATGCAATCCAATGAAGACCTCCACTATCTTGTTTGGAACTCCACCATAAATTTGATATTACACTCACCAATTTATCAATAATTCTTTGAGGGAGAATGTAAGACGACATGAAAATGTTAGAATTGTATGGGAACAAACTTGATTTGGACCACTTTTCCCTTTTGGAAAGAAGTCCACCAACCATATGTTGACCCTATTATTCATCGTATCTTGAACGAATGCAAAAACTTTCCTTTTGATCCACAGATCTCCTCATGAATCCCCAAGTACATTCCCGTTCCTCCTTCGTTGGAAATGACAAGGGTGAGTTTTAAAGCTCGTCTTGCCTCATGTCACTTTTGTTTCCAAAAATAAAACTGAGGACGTTGATGGGTTCAGTTGGTTTCCCAAAGCTACACAATAAATATCAATAATCTTTAAAATATTTGCACTCTTCAGGATATCCATTTTATATAAGAAAAGTCTATCGTCTGCAAAAAATTGGTGGGATAATGTAGGGCTTGCTCTTGCAATTCTCATCCCACCTTCGCATGCGCTTTACTAATGTCAATTGTATTGGTCATATGATCATATCTGCACATATCATTCATGAAAAGGCATGAAATTTCTCATGAGCTAACATAACATATTTTTGTGATCAGACGTCTAACCATAAAGGCTGATTGGGTGTCCAAAGTTATGTTCGGGAGGGCTTTCTTAAGCCGCTTGCACATGATTTTGTAGCTTATTTTACTAAGGCTGATCGGACCAAAGTCAGATATCTCTCCCGGTTTATCTTTCTTATGGATAAAATAGATTTTTGTTTGATTCAGCCTAGTATCAAACACTACCGTTCTAAAAATCTTTGACCAACTTGGATACATCTTTGCTCACCACTTGCCAGAACCTCTGGTTGAATCAACTAGTCATGCCATCTAGACTCAGAGCCTTATATGGATTGATATCAAATAGAGACGCCTTTATTTACTCAATAGAGGGATCTGAAAACAAGGATTGATTAAATGATCTGGAATTTTTTCGGTAATAAACCGAAGAGGCCCATCAAATTTTGGTGGGTTTGATGTGAATAGCTCCTGAAAATAACTAGTTGCAACGCATTCAATCTTATATGCACTTTCAGCCTAGTTACCATCCTTGTCTTCAGGCATATAATTTGTTTCCTAGCTCTCCTAAGTTTGGTTAAGGCATGGTGAAATTAGTATTTTGATCTCCATCTGTATGCTAGAGTGTGCGGCTTTCCCGTCTCAAAAAGTAACTTCTTCTCAAAAAGATGTACACAATTGTCTCAACTCCTCAATATTCTCCAGCATAGTATTCCCATCCTCTGTAGCTAAACCAATGTGGTTTTGAGTTCTTCAATTTGTCTTGATGTGTTTGTCTGTAAATATTTCTTCCAAAAAGATATTTTTCTAGGACATGATATGACTGTTGATGAAAATTCACATGTTAGATTTCATCAAAAGCACCACATCCTGAGATCATCACTTCTTTAAATCATGGTTTTCCAAACCATCACTTGTCAAAATTAAAGGTATTTCTTGTTTGCAAAGTACGGAGGGCCATAGGTGATCCTAGCCAAAACTAGGCAATGGTCTGACCTCCAATGTTTTGAGTACTCCAATGTAGTGTGGGAAAGTAGGAAATTTCAATTCTTATTCCGATAGCCCTATCTAAGTGATATTTAACTTTTCTGGAGCTACGTTCGCCCATCCAGGAGAAGGAATTCCCTTAGCACGTTAAAGTCAATTATACAATAATAGTTTATAGGCCAAAAGGGAATAAAAATGATTCCGCTCTCTGTCTTCCCCCATGTTTTCATTATCATCCGTAATCTCATTAAAATCTCCTATTATAGTTATACATTTTCGTTTGAGACTCATCCTAGTCAGACGCTCTAATACATATTCTCGGTATTCTACAACCGGATCTCTGCACACGAAAACCATATTTTTTTTTGGACTACTCAAATATAGTTTCAATATTAATCATATGATCATCATATAATTAATAATATATTTGTTAGTTCATATACACGGGATACTGACGTATTAATTAAAAACTAATAAAAAATATATTTGTCAGCAAAAGTATTTATTAAAATGAGGAAAAGAAGTTGTGAGGAGATGTAAGTCTTGGATTCCCGTATAATCAAGTTCCAAACCTCTTCTTTGAAAACATAATATGGAACCACAAGCCTTAAACTTTGGTAGCATATGTATGGTGGATGGCTCATTGACCTCTACAGTTCAGCGGATATAGATGAGTTTAGATGGACAGTTTGGAAAAGATTCAATTAATGGGAACACAAAATTTAAGACGACGCGATACTGCTTCGAATACTGTATTAGAAACAGTGCTACGGACACTGGAAAACTTGATTCAATATTTGACATGTCAAAAAATTGAAACAGACTGTAAAGATCTGATCACAACGATAATAAACTTATTGCATAACCAAATTTCGTTACAGAATTGGATGAGATAAAGAATCTTAAATTACGCTTCACAGCCTTCAAGTTTCATAGATCCTTGAACGCAACATAATATTTCTGATTTTTCAGCTAGAATTACGAAATTTTTTATAGAGATTTATGTTTTATTGATTGTTTTATTTCAATTTGAATAGACATTTCATTTCAAATTTGACTAATATAATATTACTCTTTCGTTATTAAAAAGATGGGGAACATAAGTATCTAACGAAATCGGAAACATCAAAAGAATATTTGTCAGCAGAAGTATCTCACGTGGTTGTTTTTTATTTACAAAAGCAAAACAACTACATGATAGGACAATTTTGTTTACACTTGAGATGACTGACAATTTAACACACTTTTATAACATAAACTAGGTGTTTTGCCCGCACATGCGGGCTTAATTCTTACGAATGTTTATTATTTTTTATTTTATTAATTCTAAAATAATATTATAAGTTATTTTTATAGTTTTAAAAATCTAAATCAAACATTAAGATATTTTTATATGAATATATATTTAGATTATGGATAATTCTTATCATTATTATTAATTTAAATCATTTATCTAATCAAATAAGTTTAATTATCTTTAAATCAATTTAAAAAAATATCAAAATAAATGATTATTTGCATCCAAAAAATTCGACCTAAAACATTAAACTTTTTTACATGATAAAGTTATTTACAAACTAATTTTTCATTTGAAACTTTGAAAATTTAAAGTCTATTTCATTTCTTCTTAATTGATAAAAAAAATTTGAAAAATTGAATTGATAAATTTACATTCAAAAATTGATCTTACAGAAAGAATAACATTAGTTTAAATAATAATACAATATATTTGAATTTATTTTTGTCAAACACGTATTTTCTTAAGGTTTAACTATATAAAATATAAATATAAATTTAATTTAACGTGTGAGTTCAGAGGCGAAAAATAACTTCACAGATATATATCATTATATTATATTATTATATTCTTTTAATTTGAAAATAACTACGTATTATAAATTTCCAATTTTCTTTTTTGAATTATATACAATTGAAAATTTTACTTTAAGAATATTTATTTATGTGTTTTCAGTTTTTGAATTTTTTTAATTAAAATATATTTTCCGGATAACAACACAATATCTATATAAGAATTATCTTTTTATTTTTAAGTATATATTTAGATTATAGATAATTCTTATCATTATTATCAATTTAAATCATTTATGTAATCAAATAAGTATTAAATTCGTTTTTATTTTTAGATGATTTATATATTATTTTCATTAAGGGTATAAACGATATTAACCACTCCAACTTTTAACGTGAGAACTCCGTTGCGAAAAATCACTTCGCAAATAATAGTATAGATTAACCTACCTAGGAACAAATAATACAAAACCAATTAAGTCCCTTATATATTACCCAAGTCCATTACATATTTTCAATGTGAGATCTTTTTCCCAACATAAATTAATCTAGCATCACGAACAATGAAGAAATACCGATTGGATAGATCCATTCAACATCTTCAAATCAAACAAACCATCAATCCTTGAAACTCTTAAAATCAATGATAGATCTAGCCGATTGGCATGGGACCAAGCAGCACAGACAACTCGGAACAGCAGACATACCCAGCGGAGGGGGAGGGTTCCTCTGTTTTAGAGAGAGGAATGTGTTGTTGGCCATATTTAATATTTTGACAACGAGAAACATATTTTATGAATGTATTTATAAACATATATATTATTCAGACTCATTACACTTTTAAAAGTAAGACTATGTGCATGGTTCAGAAGTATATATATAATAATGGTAGAGGTTTCTTCGTTTCTAAGTGCACAGTTGGTAAAATTATGTGGAGGCTCAGGATTGCAGCTGAGGCTGGAGATAGCCCTCACTTGTTCAGCACCAACAACTACGTAGGCAGGCAGATTTGGGAGTTTGATGCAAACTCAGGCTCTCTAGAAGAACGTGAAGAGGTCGATAGAGCTCGTCAGAATTTTTCCATAAACCGTTCTCGTTTCAAGGCTAGTGCCGATCTCCTCTGGCGCATGCAGGTATACTACCATAAACATTAAATATGTGCATTACCAGTATTTTGGAGCTTACCCCATTTATATAATTATTTTCTATTGTTATTTTCTTTTTTGTGGGGGGGGGGGGTGGATTTACACAGTTTCTGAAGGAGAAGAAGTTTAAGCAGAAAATTCCTCAAGTAAGAATAGAAAATGCAGAGGAAATAAAATATGAAGACGCAAGGGCAGCACTGAGGAGAGGGGTGGTTTATTTTGCGGCCTTGCAGGCTGATGATGGACATTGGCCTGCTGAAAATTCTGGTTCTATGTTCTTCAACGCCCCCTTTGTAAGCTAATCCTACGAGCAAACTTTACCTTTTCTTATCTTTTTGGTCAAGGGAAATATACACACATATGTATAATTTCTAAAATACAAAATTACAGTTCATATCCTTGTACATCACTGGCCATCTCGAGAAAACTTTCACTCCTGAGCATCGCAAAGAGTTCATGCGTTACATGTTTAACCATCAGGTACTTGTAAACCTATCTCTCTCTATTCATCATATGAAAGATAAGATATATAGGTTTTTTCTTGGAATTCATTTAACCTTCCTTTACATGTACAAGAACGATGATGGTGGATGGGGAATACATGTGGAGGGCCACAGTGTTATGTTCTGTACAGTCCTCAATTACATCTGTCTAAGAATATTTGGGATGGATCAAGAAAGTGTGTGTGCAAGAGCTCGTAAGTGGATCCTCGACCATGGTGGTGCCGCGTATACGCCCTTGTTTGGAAAGATTTGGCTCTCGGTACAAATATTAATTTTATAGCCGTATTAAATATGAGTTTTCTAATAAAATTATAATTCAAGAACGAGATTCAAAAATACCACTAAATTAAACTCTTGTTCAAATTATCATAACAATTTTTTTTTTTGAAAAAATCACTAACATGACTTTAAACCAAAAATACCACAAAACTAAAAAAATCTAAGCTTTAAACCATATTAATTAGATTTTAAATCTAAAAAAATTAAACTGTACATATCTAAGTTAACCCTAAATGCAGGCTATAAACCCAAAGTAAAAAAAATTAATATCTAGACCTTTAAAAGTCATTTTAATGCTTGTGGTATTTTAGTATAAAACACTATAAATGTTATATTTGTCAATTTCAGAAAGTATGTGAAAATTTTGTCCACAAAATCTTTTTAATTAGTAGTATTTAATTTTTTCTATATTCAATATGCACAGGTTCTTGGTGTGTATGATTGGTCTGGTTGCAAGCCCATGCCACCCGAGTTATGGATGCTCCCTTCTTCATGTCCTTTTAACGGAGGTTCAACAACTAATTATATATGATATGAATGTTAATTAGCACGTCCCCTTAGCTGAAATTAAACTTCATCTGTCTGTATACAGGAACTGTTTGGATTTATTTACGAGACATTTTCATGGCGGTATCATACTTGTATGGAAAAAAATTTGTTGCTACTCCAACACCTCTAATAGCACAGCTCCGGGAAGAGCTTTATCCTCAGCCTTACAACAAAATCAAATGGAGTCAAGCTCGCAATCTATGTGCAAAGGTATATAATTATATATTGTCATGATTATTACTTTTGCCTCCCTGTCAATTCATCATCCTAACGCTAGATTATTTATAACCAAAGATTTGTTTACATTTCTATGTTGAAATATTACTATCTCATTTCGGAACTACAAAAAACTTGTTTTCATCAGATATCTATGTGAATTTGTATTTGTAAAATACATTATATTGTGGTAACAAACTTTTTAACATATGTCAATATTATTAATTAACGAATATAATGATGATTATGATGTAGGAGGATCTATATTATCCACAGTCATTTTTGCAAGATATGTTTTGGAGAAGTGTTCATATGTTCTCAGAGAACATCTTCAACCGATGGCCTTTCAACAAGCTCCTAAGACAAAGAGCTCTCCGAAAGACAATGGAAATCATTCACTATCACGATGAATCGACTCGATACATTACCGGTGGATGTGTACAAAAGGTATATTTTAATTGTATTTAAAATATTGTTGCTTTTATATACTGAGATCATATATTTTGAGAAAATTTTGAATTTTTTTTTTTGTATGGGTAGCCGTTCCATATGCTTGCTTGCTGGGTAGACGACCCAGACGGTGATTATTTTAAGAAACATCTTGCTCGAGTCCCAGATTTCATATGGATAGGCGAAGATGGTCTAAAAATCCAGGTTAGAATTAATTACTTATTTGCAGGGCCGGCCAGCCTGTCCTGGGATTAATATATTTACTAAACACACAATCGAAAAGAGCGGTTTTGTAGATTTTTTTTTTTTAAATGGATCGTTTAATTTTATAAACCTATTTAATAAAAAAATAATGGCCGCAAGCTCATGCTTGGCTTCAAGGTTGGCTCTGGTTATTTGAGGTTTGATATTTTAATGTATTTACTAGAACCAATTTAGACCATCTGTCAATTTACTCTAAATTAGTTCAATCATACTTGCCTGAACTTAGGAGTGGAACCAAATCAGTTTAATTAACTATCAACTTGCTCTTAGAATGTAAGGTCCGGTCTAGTTATTTCCAGGAAAAAAAAATTATAATAATCGAAACTTATAAATGCTTGAACTTAGGGTATATTTTTAGTTTAATTTAAAGTCCTTTTGTACTAAAATTTCACATATTGTGACCCGGTCTTCTTTAACTTGGACCAATGGTGCAGTCTTTTGGTAGCCAGTTGTGGGATACGGCCTTATCGCTGGAGGTCTTGTTAGCTGCTGATATGGATGATGAGATTAGCTCAACGTTGATCAAAGGATACGACTTCTTGAAGAAATCTCAGCTGACAGAGAACCCTCCCGGTGATCACAGGAAAATGTTTCGAGAGATAACCAAAGGCGCGTGGACCTTTTCAGACCAAGATCAAGGATGGGCTGTTTCTGACTGCACTGCTGAGAGTCTAGAGGTAAGAAAAAGAAAAAAAGTGTTGTGAAAGAAGTGGGCTCGTTTAATTATGACCATCATGTTAGATGTAAAAATAAGGAATATACGTATACTGAATATTGACAATGACATCATCATCAGTGCTGCCTAATCTTTGAGAGCATGACAATGTTGGGTGAGAAAATGGATGCAGAGAAGCTGTACGATGCCGTTAATTTGCTTCTATGCTTTCAGGTACCAGGCTAACAGCTCCCTACTTTTTTGAAAATAAATCTGTTAGTCTTAGATTTGGACCCATCGAGTTAAGTTTAAGTCACAGCTCTCTCATAATAATGTTAACATGGCAGAGCAAGAATGGAGGTTTAGCTGTGTGGGAGCCTGCTCGTGGGAATACCTGGCTTGAGGTTATGCTACTTACCTATTTATTTGTCTTTATATTATATTTTTTGTTGGAAATGTGCTCAAAGTGCAGTTTGTATTAATGTAGTGGCTGAGTCCCGTGGAGTTTGCGGAAGACACAGTCGTCGAGATAGAGTAAACTCTTACATATTTCTTCTAATTTAGAAAAAAATTGGGTCGGGGCTTTACTTGAAAAAAAACTGAACTGTTTTGTTATATTCGACATCTTTTAGGTATCTTGAATGTACAGGGTCCGCAATAGTAGCGCTGGTTCGGTTCTTGGAAATGTTTCCAGGCCACAGAAAAGAAGAAGTGGAGAGTTTTATAAGAAAGGGCATAAAATACATTGAGAGTTTCCAAATGCCAGATGGTTCATGGTATGGAAACTGGGGCGTGTGCTTTATCTTTGGGACCTTAAATGCGGTCCGTGGTCTCGTTGCCGCAGGCAAGACTTACAGTAACTGTGATGCTATCCGTAGAGCGGTTCAGTTCCTTCTACATACACAAAATGCAGAAGGTGGATGGGGTGAGAGCTATCTCTCTTGCCCCAATAAGGTAAAGAAAAAACAAACATAAAAATCTCTCAAACTCCTAGTCTTCTTCTTAATAAAATGCCAACAAAGAAAAGAGTATCTGTTGTGCACAAAAAAAAAAAGAGTACATGTATAATGTGTTGGCCTAAAAAAAGTGAGATTATATATTCTGACTTAATTAATGGTACGGTGGAATACAGAAATATACTCCTTTGGAAGGAAACAAGACGAATGTTGTGAATACAGCACAAGCAATGATGGGTCTAATTATGGGTGGTCAGGTTAGTGAAACTCAAACATCATTAATATGGAATATATTTTCTGCACACTTAGTTTCTATAGTTTTTTAAAAAATAGATATAATGTTATTTTCAGATGGAGAGGGATCCAAGACCGGTTCATCGCGCTGCTAAGGTGTTGATTAATTCACAGCTGGAGAACGGTGATTTCCCACAACAGGTGTGACTTTTGTTTTTTGTGCCTTTTCTTTTCTTTTTGTTTAATCATATTCCACAGTGCATTGCTCGTATGTATGACAAATTTCTGACAAAAATATGCAGGAAATAATGGGAGTGTTCAAGATGAATTTGTTGCTACATTATCCAACCTATAGGAACATTTTCACTCTCTGGGCACTCACTTATTATACCAAGGCCCTTCGTCTGCATATATAATCACTTTTATGAACCTCATCATCACCACAAACTCTTTAACAATATAATGTATACAAAAATATTTGCTTCTATCACAAGAAACAAGATGAAAGCTCCACATAAAGTTTCTTATCTCATTCTCGTTCGTCATCATCATCCGCTCCTTCCGTACCTCAAGGCCATAATTTCGGTTGGTTCTGGTTATGCCGACCACCAAACTGGTTGTGGGAGATGGATTACACTCCTCCGCAAGGCCCATCGAATGGGAGAATTTAGCCCGACACAATAGCATATTCGGCCCATTAACCTTACTGGAAGCGGCTTGGCATGACGGCGCGTTTAGAAGCATAACGAAGAGCGTCCCAGAGGGTTAAGGAAAAGACGGTTTACCCGGATACGCTAAACAAGCCCAATAGGAACANTTTACTCACCATCCTACTTAGCCGCTTACCCTGTTTACTCACCTGACGGTTTAGTCACCTTCCGTTTACCCGCTGAATCGTATTTCCGGCTAGTCCGCCCTTGTACTCTTCTCTTTGTAACTCTTGCTCAGATCTAATAAAACGTCTTTGTTCGCCCTCATCTCTCTTTATATTGTTCAAACCATTTTCACCTCAAACAATTTGGCGCCCACCGTGGGGCTCTGAACAAAGCAACGTTATCAGATCTAGACATGCCTGACGACGGAACCGTCTCCGGGACCGCCGGCGAGGAGCCGACTCAGACTCCCATGCCCGAAACACCTCTTCCTCCCGACTTCATGAGCTCCGTCATGGCGCGTTTCGCCAGACAAGACGAAATACAAAAGGAGACTCAAGCTCAACTCGCCGCACTCGTAGCAGCGTTAACAGCAGCTCCCGGCGGACAGACGAGTAACTCTCAACCGTTCCGACGTCATCTCTTCCACACTAACCCGACAGCGCCGGTAGCCGACCATGCCTCCGAAGAGTCGGAACCCAACGAGCCGCATACCGCAGAGGCGGCTCAAGTCGGCCCAGATCTCACCACTGTCCGTGAAATCGCCGAGCTCAAACTGAACCTCCAACAGATGAGTTCCACGATTCACAAGGTTACTAGCGCCGCTCCACAGATCGAGAGTGTTCTCGCCTCAACCGAGCGTACTCCATTCACCAGTACGCTGACTAGCGTGAACTTCCGCAAGATCGAGAAGTTACGCGTCCCACAGTACAAACCTGGAGGCGACCCTGTGGAGCATATGACTGCTTTCAACATCGCGATGGCTCGAGCGCGACTACCCAACGACGAAAGAGACGCCGCGTACTGTCAGCTGTTCGTAGAAACACTCCACGACCAAGCCTTGACCTGGTTCTCAGGTCTCAAGGAGAACTCCATCAGCAGCTTCAGAGAGCTTTCGTCGGCTTTCCTCAAGACCTATATCATGTTCACTAAGCGCGAAGCAACAGCCTCCAGTTTGTGGAACCTGAAGCAGACTAAGGACCAAAGTCTTCGTGACTTCATGGAGCGCTTCAAGTCGATCGTCTCAAAGATCGACATCCCTGACCATATAGCCGTCGACGCTCTCATGAACACCCTCCATCTCGATTCCAAGTTCCGAGAGGACCTATACCGAAGCACCTCCACAACGCTCCAGGATGCCATAGCCCGCTCACACAACTTCATCCGAATGGAGGAAG